ACCATATTTTCCTCTATATCTTTGAACATATTTATATAGCTATTATATATAATTATATTATATATAAAGTCCTTGTTTGCTAATTCCTATTTCTATGACATTTTAAGTTTCTTTACTAGTTGCTGATTCTTCTCTGGATTATGACCCATATTTTCTTATTTCTTTGCCTTGTAATAACTTTTTATTTCATAGTGGACATTAATATGTTACATTATAGGCAGTCTGCATTTTGTTGTTTCTTTTAAATAAAAATATATTTGGGAATAATTTTTAGATTTACTAAAAATGTTTTAAAGATAGCACAGAACATTCCTTTATATCATTCACCCTACTTCCCCTATTGTTAAAATCTTAAATAATCATGACACATTTGTCAAAACTAAGAAACACTGCTACATTACTATCAACTAACTCCAGGTTTTCTTTGACTTCATCAGATTTTCACTAACATCCTTTTTCTGTTCCAGGATCTAATCTAGGATAACACCTTACATTTGATCTTCATGTTCTCTGGTCTCTTATAGATTCTCTGGTCTGTTACAGTTTCTCAATATACCCTTATTTTTCATGACCTTGGTATATTTGAAGAGTCAGATATTAGTAGAATATCTTGCAGTTTGAAGTTATCTAATTTTTATTCACATTTAGACTGAGGTTATGGAGTTTGGCAAAATATACCATAGTGGTTAGCCGCTATTTTCTTATGGCACGATATTGGAGGTGCATGATATCAACAAGACATCACTGGTGGTTCACAGGGTTAACCCCGTTTATGTGGTTGTGACTGTGTTATCTCTGCTGCCAAGTTACTATTTTTGCCTGTCTATACATTATTCTTTGATAGTAAGTTGCTATGTGTTGCCAACACTCAAGGGGAGGAGAATTAAATTGCACATCACATGGGGTGAGTACCTACATATATTATTTGGAATCTCTGTAAGGAAGATTGATCACTTCTCCCCCACTTTTTTATTTATTCAATCATTTATTTCAGTCAGCATGGATTCAGGGGAGTGACGTTACTATGATGGCAGAGTGGGAGACTCCAGCCTCTGTCCTTCCACAAAGAACAGCGATTAGACAGCTGCCCACGAATGAAAATAGTTCTGGAAGACCTCAGGAGTCCACTTAGGAAGCATTAGCAATCCAGTGGAGCAAAGAGCTTGAGGCTAACACCATAAAAAGCATAGGAAGAACATTCTCATTTTGACTGCATCATCCCATTTCCCACATATATGCAGCAAGCTAATTTCTGACAAAGGCATCAAGCATATACAATGCGGAAAGGATCATCTCAAATAAATGGTCCTGGGAAAATTAGATATCCATATGAAAAAGAATGAAATTGGACCCTTTTTATACACCATGCACAAAAACAACTCAAAATGGATTAAAGACTTAAAAGTAAGACCTGTAAGCATAAAAGTCCTATTAGAAAATATAGGGGGAAAGTTCCTTGACATTGGTCTTGTCAGTGAGGTTTTGGAGTGTGCACCCAAAGCACAGACAACGAAAGCAAAAATAAACAAGTGGTACTACAATAAATTAATTGTTTCTTCACAGTGAAAGAAACAATAAAGTGAATGACATTGTAAACTGGTACAGCCTCTATGGAAGACAGTATGGATGCCCTCAATATACTGAAAATAGAATAACCATACAGCAATCCTGCTTGTGGGTATATATCCAAAGGAAATACAATGACTATTTCAAAGAGATATCTGTGCTGCCATGTTCATTGCAGCATTATTGGTAGTAAGCATGATATGGAAACAACCTCAGTGTCCATCAGCAGATAAATGATTAAAGAAAATGTCACGTATGTATGACATTTTATCAGCATGTACATAATATAAAAGAGGAAATTATTCAGTCTTAAAGAAAAGTAAATCCTGCCATTTACAATGTATATGAACGTGTGGGATATTACCGAGGTCAGCGGTCCCCATCATTTTTGGCACCAGAGACTGGTTTCATGGTACCAGCCAGAGGCCTAGGGGTTGGGGACCTCGGATCTAAGTGCAATAAACCAAACACAAATTTAAACGTGCTCAGAACATTACATTAGCCTACAATCGGATAAAATCATTTCACACAGTGAATATGCTGTTGAGTATTGGCGGTCACCCTCCTGGCTGCATGCCTGACTGGGGTCTGAAGCTCAGTGCTGCTGGCAGCATCACAGGAGAGTATCATAATGCAAAATGCTAGCCAGGGAAAAGATGAAAACTGGAGGTAAGTTTTTACTGAACGTATATTGCTTTTGCAACATAGAAAAATAAAAAAAAATTATGTTGAACCATTTTAAGTTAGGAATGATCTGTACCATTTTTATGTCTCAAAAATAAATATGTCAGTATGGAATCAAATTTTTTAATTCATGGTTTATCATCCAATACTATTTTTTTGTGCTCTAATTGTTTCATATTTGGCCATTGGGACCTTTTTCATTTGGTTCCTGAGTCCTTCTGATCCCGTCATTTTTTAAATTTATTGTTTTGAATACTTCCTTATTTTCTAGTACTAAAAGGACTAAGAGATGTTCCAGGCTTATCTTGTGTTTTTCCTGCCCTGACCCTAGAACTAGTCATGTCCTCAATTCCTATGTTGTCTTCCTTTTTTTTTTTTAAACCGTACTAATCATTTTAGGTGTTATAGACTGAATATTTGTGTTCCCTTCCATGCCTAAATTCATTATGTTGAAGCCCTACATGGATATTTAACCTTCAGTGTTGTTGTATTTAGAGATAGGGCCTCTAAGGAAGTAATTAAAGGCAAATGAGCTCATTATGGTGGGTCCTGATCTGATAGGATTGGTGTTCTTATAAGAAGAGATACCAGAGAGCTCACTCTCTCTTCCTGCACACTTGCACTGAGGAGGGACCATGTGAGACCATCGGAGGTGTCTGCTGCAGGAGGGAGTTCTCACCAGCCACCTTAATCTTAGACTTTCAGGTCCAGACTGTGAGAATAAATTAATGTTGTTTAAGCCACTTGATCTAATGTGTTTTGTTATGTCAGTCGAAGCCGACTAAGCAAGTGTATTCACATTGCTGTACAACAGAGCTCCAGAAGTTTTTACATCTTGCAAAACTGATACTCCATAACCATTAAACAACTCTCCATTTCTCCTTTTCTCCAGCCCCTGGCAACCACCGTCCAACTTTCTGTTCTTCGGAATTTGACTACTTTACATACCTCATATAGGTGGAATCAGAGACTATCTTTTTGTGACTGGTTTATTTCCTTTAGCGTAATGTCTTCAAGGTTAATCTATGTTGTAAGATGTGACAGAATCATTTTCCTGTTCAAGGCCAAATAATAAATATCCCATTGTATGTATAGCCCACATTTTGTTTATGTTGTCTTCCCTTTAAGAGAATAAAAACTTGTTCTTTTTCTTTTTTTTTTGAGAATTTTTGTAAGAGTTTATTTGAGTCAAACTGATGACATACAGCAGGAAGTAAGATCGCAAATGCTCTCAAAACTTGTTCTTATAGGCATCTAAATTACTGGTGGATCTTCTGTGTTGTCAACCTTTGTTTTGTTTCTTTGTTCATTCTGATTAGCACCATACCACCTCTGGTCTCACTTATTTACCTGCCAGCCCTTCAGGAAGTCCTCTCCTAGGACTTGCAGAATCATGTCCTCTGTCTTTGTAGCCTAGCTCTTCTCCAAGGATCTATGTTGAGTATCCATGCAGTCTTCTGGACACCTCTCTTTATGTAACTCCCTCTTACTAGGTACCCTGCCCTTCAAATTCCAGCCATAGAAGCAGCTCAAAACTGAGATCTCTACCTCCTCAGCTTGGTGAGGCTGCCGCCCTGTTTAGAAGGTATTTTCCAGCTTTGTGCCAGGAAGTGGCCTTGGCAGAATGCTAGGGTGACGATAGAGCTCACTTCTGTGTGTTCCCTCCTCTCAAGGATCACAGTGCTGCCAGTGTCTCTTGCCTGGAGACAGTTGCCTCATGTATAATTTTTTGGTTGGAGGTCAAGTCTATTAGCACTCTGTTATGGCAGGAAACAGAAATGTAGTTTTATTAATATGCTCTTCCTGTTTCTCCTCTTTTCTATCTTTATATCAATACATTCTGTCTTGGTGACCTTATCTACTCTTAGAGTTTTGATTTCTGTTTTTCTTAACTTCTTATTAACCATTCTCATATTAAAGATAAATCACTTTGGTATATACTATTTAACGTGTTTCCTTTTATAGTTGTCTTTGCATACAAAAACAAGAGAACAGGAGACAAATTTAATGGAATTTCTGACACTGTGAAGGGTAAAGATTAGAGCACACTTGGGAGAATGATTGGGGGAACATAGGGGAATAGAATATTCAAAAAACATAATTAGGCAATAGTCCATTTTCCCCATAATTCCAGGCACACTCAGCCAATAGTCCATCTCTCTATCACATATACTACCCAAAAGGTCCAAGAAACCATGAAATCAGTCCCACTTGGCATGCATGTATTTTCTCAAAGGAAAAAAAGCGAATACAAAATCTGAGATAAACTCATAGCTAGGAACCACTCTCATTTTTATTTTTTTCCGTAGTAGAAATTGCTGACTGAAGAACAACTTTTTCTTGTTCCATAGAATTAGATGAGATAGGCAATCAATTTAATATACAGGATGGAGAAAAAGTAGGTTTACAGTTGTTTGTATGGAAAGTAATCTTTCCACACTGTCAAAATACCGTGTTTTGTGTACTAACAACTGTAAGTCTTCTTTTGCTCAACGCTTTATATTTAATAAGCATCTAGGGAGTATGGTAAGGCAAAAAAAAATTGACAGTTTCGAATATTGATTTCTATAGGCAGCCCCAGGATTTGAATCATTTCCTGAAAAATTACTTTTGTTTTTGTCACCTGTACCTTGAAAAAAAACCCTACAAGTTTCCTGCTAGCAGTTTACAGATGGGGCTGTTTCCTCGCTGGTGCACATCTCCTCACACTTCTCTAATTTTGTTTTCTCAACTGAAGTGAAAGATATTAGATGGAGATGATTGACAATGCTGTTTATTCTGTATTAGAATTGTCTACCGTACCACAAGCCCAGAATGACTACAGACCCCAGCAAAAAGGTATGTGAACCAAGTTAGTCTGGAAAACTGTGCATAATTACTGCAGGTTATGGGATGACTGAGACGTCGACTAAATTTAGAGTAGAGGATCCAGAAAAATTGAGGATAATTTGAGGACATATGTTAGTTTCAGTTTGAGGTCCAGAATTGGCATGTGAAAATTTGATATATGGCCAAGGATCTGGTCTTAGATCTCAGGTAAATTCTTTTCTAACCATTCACTTCTCTGATCTCATCTAGGAAACCTCAGCCAGGGCAGTTCTGTTATTCTTCATTGCTCCTGAACTAAAGCAAGAACTCTGTGTGTGTGTGTGTGTGTGTGTGTGTGTGTGTGTGTGTGCATGTGTCCTTTACTGAGGAGGGACCATGTGAGACCATCGGAGGTGTCTGCTGCGGGAGGGAGTTCTCACCAGCCACCTTAATCTTAGACTTTCAGGTCCAGACTGTGAGAATAAATTAATGTTGTTTAAGCCACCTGATCTAATGTGTTTTGTTATGGCAGTCTAAGCCGACTAAGCAAGTGGTACTACAATAAATTAATTGTTCACAGTGAAAGAAACAATAAAGTGAATGACATTTTATGTGTATCTCTCACTATGAAACTCATTTTTTTAAAGAAATAAGTTTAAAAAGAAAGTAAATTCCAAATAGACAGAATTAATCCCTCAATTTCCAAATTAAAGGTTGTGAAATAAAGTAGTGAAAACTAGAACATAAGTATCGTACTTTGCAGATATTTGCTGTTCACACTTCTATACTTTCAGACTGTGAAGCAGTATACTTTTTTTGAAAAAATTCTTACTGGAAGTCTTGCTTATTGAGATGGGAAGGGGGAGAGAGAGGGAGAGAGAGGAAGAGGGAAACATCCATTCAAGAGGAAACATTGCTTGGTTGCTTCTCCTATGTGCCTCAACCAAGGACTGAACCCACAACCTAGGCATGTGCCCTGACTAGGAATTGAACCCGGGACCTTCTGGTTTATGGGATGATGCTCTAACCCACTGACTCACATCTGCCAGGACAAGAACACTACACTTTTAAAATAAAAGTCTGGGTAAAAACATTTTTTTTTTTAATTTTCCAAGTGAAATCGATATAACACTCTTAGATATAGGTTGTATATAACAGTTAATTGAAATTGTGTCCAATACTTAAAAAATGATATCAACCTGAACTCCTTGTTCTTCAAATAACAACAGTTTACAAAGCACTTCTGCGATATAGGTCATTTTATTTAAATTTTGAATAGGTAATATATTACATGGTTCAAAATTTGAAAGATACAAAAGAAGGTAAAAAAATTGTTCTCCTATCTCTGTTTCCAGCGACCTATTTTCCCTCCCCGGAGGCAAACATCAAGATTCTTGTGTCTACTTTGAGATATATTAGCATACACGTGCTGCAGAATGTCTTTTTCTTAACTATATTATCTTTTTTAAAAGTTTTTTTAATCCTCTCCTGAGGATATGTTTTTATTGATATGGGGGAGAGAGAGAGAGAGAGCTAGAGAGAAACATTGATGTAAGAGAGAAACATCAATCAGTTGAACTTGAAATTTAGGTATGTGCTCTGACTGGGAACTGAACCTGGAATCTATTGGTGTACAGGACAACCCTCCAAACAACTAAGTCATAATGGTCAGGGCTTAACTATATATCTTGACAATGATTCCATATACATTTAAAAGAAAAAAAATGTCTTTATTCTTTTGTTAGTACTTGCATATTTATGTTATGAATATATCAAAATTTACTTGCTCTCTTGTTGCTAGACATTGAAACTGAATTTAATCTTTTTTCTCCTATGAATATTGTTGCCATGAACAGCCTTATAAATATAACATTTTGCACATGTGTTAGTATCTGTATGGAAAATTTCTCAACAAGAAATTGATAAGTAAAGGATAAATGCCTTTGCCATTTTGGTGGACATTGACAAATTGTCCTCCAAAAAGTTCGTACCAATTTATACACTCACCATTAAAGCATGAGACTGTATAAACCACAATTTAAAAGGAAAAACACCCATTTTCTTAAAGGAGGTTTTCTTGAAAAATTTTTTTTAACTTTTTAAAAATATTTTATTAAATTTATTTTTAGAGAAAGGGGAAGGGAGGGAGAAAGAGAGAAAGAGGAACATCAGTTGCCTCTCCCCTTACTGGGAATCAAGAACTTCAAACCCATGAGAACTTTTGCTTTGCAGGACAACACCCAACCAACTGAGCCACACTGGTCAGGATAGGAAAAAAGTATTCTTAACTTGATAAATATAGCATGTAACTTGATAAAGATGGTTACGCTAGACTTTAGAACAAGTTTTTGACAGATCCGAGATCCTTAGGGCCTGGGTCTCAGTTCCTACTAGGTCAATTGCTTCAGGATCCCAGATATCCTTCCCTGATCTTTTCTTTTTCTTCAATTTTTATTTTGACTCAGGATTTTGCTTTGGATTCTGTTCTTGCAGCTTCCCCTTCCAGGTGCTCTCCCTCTCGGTGGGCGGTGATAGCTTTGGGGCTTCTGAGTGCCGTTCTTGCGAGTGTGCTGCTATACAAATGGACTCTGTGCCAGGGTAAGTGTTAATTTAAACCCCAATTAACCTTTCATTTCTCCATTTTGTGTTATAAAAGCAATAGAACATGTCAGAAAATTTGAAAAACGAAAAATAATTTCAACAAAATAAATCACCACTTGTAAACAACATTTTCTGGGTATAACCTCCTAGTTTTTAATTACATGCATTCATGTAAGTATTTATTCTCTTAACAGAATTTCAATCAAGTTCTCTAAAATCTTCCCACCCTTTTTTTTTTAAAAGTAAGGCTGGTTATAGTTCTAATCAAAATATGCTCATAATTTTGTATATTGCTTTTTAATTCAAATTGTGTCAAACATTTTCCTACCTACTATCATGTTTATCATGATAAATTATAATATTAATTGTTTAACTTTTTGCATTATAAATATGTCATAATTTAATTAGACACATTCTTTTTTCCAATTAGCTTTTACATTTTATAAAATAAACTTTTCTAGATTGAGTTCTCCTAGGCCCTTACACATGCTAACCCAGAGGGCCCTTGGTTTATTACTTCACAATCCAGACTCCTAATTTAGATAATGTTATCTGGGGGTGATTGTTAGTGACATGTTTTACAGACTATTCAGTAGGATTCTAAGGGTTCAGCCCCAGGATCAGTCAGTACCTCAGATCCGAGTCCTACCTTTGACAGAAGGAGATTCCTAGGGAATTTTGGAATTTCTCATTCAGGCTGGGTAATGTCACAGTTGCATGGAAAAAAAGCACAAATATATAAGGTGTCAACTTTAAACTTAATCTCTAGAACCGTGTATTTGTTCCATGCCAGGGCTATCCATAGAAAAGTTGTCTAATCTTTACATTAGAAAGGACTACTATCCCACTTCTTAATTCTCAGATCTGGAATAGATACTGTCCACATTAGAAACATCCAAATCTGTAGAGAATTTTTATCAAAGGTTATCTGAGCCAAAATTGACAACTGCCAGGAAATAAGATCTCAAATGCTTCAGAGAATAACAGTTTTGTGGTTTCTTTTCTCTTTTTTGAAAAGATCTTATTTATTTATTTTTAGAGAGAGGTGAAGGAAGGGAGAAAGAGAGGGACAGACACATTTATGTATGAGAAAAACATCAACCGGCTGCCTCTCACACACCTTGAACTGGGGACCTGGCCCACAACCCAGGCATGTGCCCTGACCGCAAATTGAACTGGTGACCTTTTGGTTAGCAGACTAGTGCTCAATCCACTGAGCTACGCCTGCCAGGGCTTGCAGTTTGTTTAATGTATTTAAAATTAAGAAGATTACAGGAAGGTGGGAGACAACAGCAAGGTGGAGATTGGCTTATAGGATAGTTAAGATTATGTGCTCGCTTGAGTGTGGTTATGCCTTTGAGAGGTATTGCTTTTTTAGCATTTGGAAGGTGTGTTAACCTAGATGCACAAGAGCAATGGACAGGGTTTACTTTAAAACCTTTCACTAAAGAATTTACAGGCCTGGGATTTTGGTACCCACCATGACCTGCCTAGGTAGGAATTGATGATCAGATCATCCTGTGAGGTTATTGTCCATAGAAGTCCTTTTTTGTCCACAATGCATACTCAGTTTTCACTTATATATCTACACATGTGTTCACTTGATAAAATGGCTCATCTTTGCCCACTGTGCTTATGGTGAGTTTATATAAATATGTTTCATGAAAGTAAAAAATTAATATAATTGTGGAATATTGGTTAAAATTACCTTGAAAGTTTATTTAGTTCTTTTTCATGTTCACAGGCCTATAATCCAACCCTTTTAAAGGAATGAGAATGTTCTGTATTTTCTTTAGTATTTGGTACCCTTCCCTGTCAGAAAATCTTTTTTCAATATCTGAAGTAAATTCTTTTTGCTGAAATGATGTCTTTATTCAATTTCCAATGATGATAGACAATCACATTTGTGATGCAAAAATCAAATAACATTTTAGTTTAGATAAGTTTGCTCTTTCCAGTTTCTGCCCCCTTTTTTTTTGTGCTATTACGGAGTGTCTGGTTGGATTCCAAAAGATTCTGCCTAATTTAAGCAATGCATGTTATGCAGTTACACTGTGCATACACTGAGCCTTTATAGACAGTACACTGACATATATGCAAATGTGGTAATTTTATCTGATGTGTTTATCACATGTGTATGAATACCTCTAGCACAAGTAACTACTCTCTTCACAGTCCTCAGCCAGATTGTTCCCATCCTTCCCTGCTCCTTCAGTTTCAGTCATGTCCTTGCTTAGTGGAATGTACAGTAGTAGTGATGGAGCTAGACATAGTGAGGTATTTAACTTAAGGCCATGCACTTGTTAGGGGAGAAACTCACTTTTTCTTGCAGACACAGTAACGGATTACAGATCAACCAGTCTATTAGTGTGAAAGCAGAGCTTATTAGTGATATGTTCTCATGGAAGAGAATGGACCTTGCCGAGGTGGGGGCAAAAGACAGGTTCAGGGCATGGCAAGGTAAGGGCAGCAAGAGGCAAGGGCAAGGACGGCCAGAGCAAGGGTGGTAAGAGCATCAGGTCCCTTGTTCTGACGACTTATATAGTTGGCAGGATGGGGGTGAAGAAGTTACATATTGATTGATGGATAAAGGTGGTGCCAGCTTTCCTGGGTGGGACTTGACGACCGACACTTAGGCACGTATGGGCGTCTGTTAGCCCAGATTCTTTTGTTGCTCCAAGCTCTGTTTGTTCATCCTGTTGTAAAAGAGACGAGTGACAGGAGTCAGTTGATTAAAGTTGAAGCAGTTTCCCAAAGTTGTTTATGAGCTTTTTCTCTAAGCATTAGGGACTCTCTCATAAAGCAGATAGTGACCAGAGGTAAGGAATTAACCAAAGTCGTGTTGTGGGCTTCTTTTTTGGGCACTGTGGACAGGCCTTGGGATGAATACACAGTGTCAAGGCTTTCTTTCCCAGATAGTGGACACAATATATAGAATTTCAAGGGCTTCCCTCCTCCCGTCTAACATAGTGTTTCTTGTGATGTTGGAACACCTGGCAACATTGTCGGACCAGGCTCAGGACGGCTGAGTCAGTGGGTGAGACATGTCTCCCTCCTCCTCCCTGCCTTGGTTTACTATCTACCCTACCTAACACATTCTCGTGCATCCCTCTAAACCTTTAGTCTGGAAGGTGGTGGGGCAGGGAAGACACTTGTGACTGTCATATTTCATTTTATCTCCCATTTCATTTCCAAGATGGTGTGATCCATAAAGATTGTGAACCAGGTCCTCTTCCTTTCTAGGTCCCACGCACTCCACTTGTGCCAGCTGTCCTTGTTGCCCAGACTTCTGGATGGGGTATGGTGACCATTGTTATTACTTCTCAGTGGAGAAAAAGGACTGGAATTCTAGTCTGGAATTCTGCTTAGCAGAAGACTCACAACTCCTTATGTTTATAGACCACCAGGAAATGGTAAATGCAAACATTTAGCGAAAGTATGTTGTTTTCTTGGTGAATGACGTTTTAATCTATTATGTATTCTCTTTTGTTGAACAAAAGGAGTATTTTTCTTTCTCCTCTTGCTTTCCCTTCTTTCTTCCTCCGTTACTCCTCCCTTCTTCTTCCTCCTTCTCCACTCCTTATCCTTTCTTTGCCTGACCCAACAACCTTCAGTTATAGAAACCTAGGTGTTTGTATAACATGTATGTGTGCAGGTTGGAGGTAGAAGAATGATGAGTATGTAACAGAGAGAAGTTAGACCTGAAGTACAGGTTTAACTAAAAGACTCATTAGATCCAGAAACATACGGGTCCAACAACAAGGAGGCAGCGGGTTCTTGCGTGAGAGCCTGTGGGACTTGGGGGTGAGAAGAAGAGAGACAGCATGGGGACGAAGAGACTACGGCAAGGGCTTAAATGCCTTCCTTTGAACATTTTTCCTTCATTCATTGGAATCTAGTAAGTTCCAGTCTAGGAAACAACTGGGAGTGGGTTGGGGTGTGTGACGAGAAAGCAGTTATAGAAAATTGGGAAAGAAGGAAGGAACTCTGGGTGTGTGTGTGTGTGTGTGTGTGTGTGTGTGTGTGTGTGTGTGTGTGATCTGAAGCTCCTCTCAGCGTTAAGATGGTAGACTCCACTTCCTGCAAAGCTCTCAGATCCTCTCTGTCTACCTAGCAGCCTCCGGGAGGAGAACTCTTTATTAATCCTAGAGCGTCTCAAGGTAACAGAAGGCACTGACATGCTGTGGAAACCTGCTGCAAAAATCAATCAAATTCCAACTTGATGTAAATAACATATACAAAGAAAATAAGAAATCCTAGTATGGTTTTTAGTGCAAAATCATACACATGCTTTTTGTGTACTAATGTTGCTTTCTATATTCTTTTTGGGGGTAGAATCAAGATACAGAGAACAGCTTATTAAAAATTCAGTTATATTACCCTCCTTATGGGAAATTCAGAGAGATGATTACTCTAAATCTGTTGGGGAGAACATATAGTTCCTGGATTTTATAACTTCCCATTAAAAAAAGAGAGATTAAAGCATCTAAATTCTTGTTTTCTATCAAAGAAATAAATACTCATTCCTCTGAAATTTTGCATAGAATCTAACTCCAAATCAGTCCACCTCCATGACTCTTCCTTTATGCCTTTCCTAAACTAGGAGGCAAAATGTATTTGGGGTCTGTTCATCAGGCATATAAACTCTATTTTATGGCATCTGAAGGTAACAGTAACCTTGCTTTCTGGACCTTTTTGTATAACTATTATTCTCATTCTGATAAAGCTCCTTCTGAGAGCTTGAACTGACTGAAATCAATAGCAGTAGTGAGCAAAGAGCTTGCAACATTGCTAGGCAAATACCAATAAACAGAAAAGCGAGTCATAATGCAAGGCACTGCCACGGAGAATTGCGGTGTGGCAGTTACTATAGATTACGCAATGTGATAACGAGATGCAGAGGGAAAGGGCTAAGGCACAGAGTATCTGGGAGCTGCGGATATTTGTTTCCCTACGGTTCCCCAGTGGGATGGAATAGCTATTAGAGGAATTTTGTATTTCTTTCTTTACTTTCGCTGGATCTTGCCTCTGCTATTGTGTAAGTAACAGAGTTAAATTGGCTGCATGTCCAAAATTGGTTTATTTTCTCTTAAGATCCCTTGGTTCAAGTGGATATTGCAGAAAGTAGAATATCCCTGATAGATTTAATACTAACCTCAGATAAGTTTTACTTCTGACATTCCTTTGATTCTCAGGCCTAATCCTTTTTCTCTGTCTCAGCTTTTGTCAGGTTCTGTAGAACCAACTCGACTTTGATTTGATGAGCCTCTTGTACTAGTGTTATTATTTTGTTTTCAAGGCAAGATTTACATACCATGTTAAGGTTTGCTTGGTATTCCTGGCATCATACTAGCTACCAAAAGAGCATATGGGTGTATTAAAACTGAAGTTTTTCAAACTGGTATTCTCCTGGTGGAGAACACTGCTAGGGAATGAGGTTGCTCTGTGCTAGAGGCTACAGGATATACACCCTGTATTTGACCAGCTATGGCAGAGTATAAAAACAATAATAGAAACTGCCATGTATTGAGCACTTGCTATGTGCTAGGTATTTTATGTATATTACTCTTAATCTTCATAGCACATCCTACAAAGTAGAATTCAACACCTCCATTTCACTGACAAGTACAAATCCAAGTTTACAAATCTGACAAAGCCAGTTCTTCTCCTCTTTCTCCTCCTCCCCCTCTCCTCCTCCTCCACCTTCTTCTCTTCTTACTCCTTCCTCTTCCAGAGCCAGATTTTAAACTCCACTTTACCCCACCTTTTATAGTCACTTACAGAAATATTGTATTTGTCAGCTTCTAGAATCCATCTTGTATATGCTGAAAAATGAGATAAAGTTTTCCTATTAATTGCCTTCTGTTGCCTTTCCTTTTCTATACATATTTAAAAATTATTTGAATTTAAAATCTGAAATGTACATGATATGCTCCAAGGGATTTAAATATTTTTAAAATAGTCAAATACTCACTTACCTCTTTCTTTTCTCTTGGACTTTAAGATTTGGGTGGAGGTGGAAGAGAGCATAAGGGGGATCAATGGTAATGGAAAAAAAATACAATAAATAAAGATTTATTGTATTTTTAAGAAAATAAAAACAAAGCTGATATTTGAATTACTCTGTTATTTCCTCAGGTGTCTGTTGACATACGGTATTTGGCCTTGGTTGTTGTTCTTGCTTTTTGAATTTATCTTTAGGTTTTAGATATATTGAAATTCTTGATTTTTGTTGTCATTTTCCCCCAACAAAGCTCAGTATACTTTAGATAGTAGCATTTTTTTCTTAGAGTTGTTGATGTATGATTCAAAAATACACATTTAGTAGAGCATTCCTTATGGAAATATTTTTGTTTTTTAATTTGTCCCGATGTTCTCTACCTCACAATATCTTTCTTCTTCATTGCCATAACTTGAAATGATATAATCAGAGTTTATTGTTTCAATAACCTATTCAACTTTGTCTTTCTCGTTAGAATTTATGATTTGGGATTGTCTTTATCTTCTCCCTGGCTTTTCTTGTATTTAGGTTTTACGTTTAATTATATGCAAGTTTTCCTTTTTTGGAGACTGCAATACAAAAACTTTGGTCACTTTTCACCATATTTTAAAGTAGAATCAGGTAATGGGAAGAGCTTAATTTCTTTCAGACAGTCATAAGTCTGTTTTTACTACATTATTTACTATGTGAACTTCAGCAATTTTCTTAACCTCTTTGACTTTCAATTCCTCATGTACCAAGAGAAGAAAGAATTTTCAGGAATTGTTATAAATATTAAGTGAGAAAAGTCTATGTGGAAATTTCTTTAACATAGTAAGAATTATAATATTTCTTTTCCACTTTAACTAATTCAGTCAGAGTAACTTGTTTTTCTTTTCTGTTTCTCAAGACATGACATTTTGGTAAAATATGTACCACAAAGTTAATTATGATCTGTTTAATTGAGCATTTCCTTTATGAGGAAATCTGAAATTGTATGTTGGAAGACTGAAAGAAATGACTGGAAACACAAGGCAGATTAGAGAAGAATTGTTTCATTGTGGAGGTCTTCCTACTCTGATAATTTGTCTTTTATCACCCTATCTTTACAAACAGATCAAGCAACCAGTATGAATTTTAGTCCAAGAATTGGTGTGGTAGATAGGTTAAGATCTCTCTCTCTCTCTTTTCTATTTAAACTTAAAAAAAATGCAAAACATAAAATTTAGCATTTAGCTATTTGCAAGTGTACAATTAAGCAGCATTAAGTACATTCCCTTTGTTGTGCAGCCCTCACCACTGCTCATTTCCAGAGTGTTTTCATCATCCCAAACAGAAACTAGGTGCTCATTAAACAACAGCTCCATATTTTCTCCTTCTCCCAACCCCTAGGGACCCCCTTTCTACTCTTGGATTCTTTGAGTTTGTCTATTATGTCCTTTTATACACGGATTATTTCAAGGTTCATCCATGCGGTAGCATATATCAGAATTTCATTCCTTTGTATGGCTGAATAATATTCCATTATTTGAATATATCACAGTTTGTTTATACATGTGTTTGTTGATGAGCAGTTTTTTTTTGAAACTATCTTTTAAAGTGCTCTGGTGTATGGAACGAGGCTTATTTAAGTATTGTGCACATACACGAAATTATAGGGAAAATTCTTATCAATATGAAAGTCATAATTCATAGCCTGTCCGCTTTTTGAAATCTCTTAATGTATCTGCCTATTTGGATTTTTTAAAAAAGTTTTATTGTATTTTTCGCATTACCATTTAGTCCCCATATACCCCTGCCCCCTGGCAATCCCAGCACTGTTGTTCGTGTCCCTGAGTCCTTTCTCCTTTTTTGCTTAATACCCTCCACCCCCTCTCCTTGTCCCCCACCCCCACTGTCCTCCTCCTCTCCTCTATGAGTCTGGTCCCATTTTCCTTGTTAGTTCCATTTGTTCATTAGATTCCACATATGAGTGAAATCACATGGCATTTGCCTTTCTCTGACTGGCTTACTTCACTTACCATACTGTTCTGCATATTTTGATATGATAGTAATCAATGTTTATTTACTAAGGATATCTAAAGTCTAGAAACAGAAAAAACTAATATGTTAGTTACATGTACAAGTAATATGCTTAATGTGTTTTTATTTAACCTCTGGACACATTTTCAGCTGAAACAACTCTAAATTTAAAGCAATAGATTAAATTGATTTTAGATTATATGGGTGCTCTGTATTCTACTATTTTCAAATTCCTAACTACATTCCTTGCTTTAACTACTTTACCTGAAAAGGGTCTGGAGATTGAAGAGAAATATATTAATGCTATTATTTAAAAATATAACAGACATACTGTTTAAAAATATGTTTATCCTATGTTTCTAGGCTTTTTGGACACCCTGTAATTATGTTCTGCTTTTTAAAAAATCATGT